CATGTTGAATAAATGACAGATAACATTTCTACAAACGGCATTAATAATGATTAGTTCGCTCTATGAAATATAGTAGTTAGGTACACAGAAGACCTTAACAGGGAAATGGTGTTCACCTAAATTTTATTGCGGATTCCTAAGAAAAAATTAAATGCTACAAACGATGCCACCGACCGTTTTTTAAATTTTTAATTAGTATCCAAAGTGCTCAAATTATGTTTAAGGAGCCCAATAGTGTTTTTATGCATTTCAGAACAAATATTTTTGGCTGAAAACTTTTGTTTTGGATAGAAATCCCATTATTAAAAATTCAGTGAAAAGAGGGTTGAGAAGACCACAGGGTCCATGGAGTTGCTCCAGAAAGGGTTCAAATGACCAGCAACGCTAGACAGTCAAGAGCATTGCTTGAAACTATTTTCTGGGGTAATAGGATAACATTAAATTTCTATTTCGGTATCAAAATACAATGATACATTGTGGGTATGAGGCTGTGATAGCCAAATATTTCCCAGGTACCCAACTTCTGATTTTAAGGGCCCAAATGCACTTGAAGATGTAATTCAAGAGCATAAAATTATAGTAAGAACTTCTTTCTACATACATGATAAATATTATTGTGTATAAGTGGTACTTGTTAATTCAAATATTAATACATCATTTTCGGGGCACCCGAGGGCCCCCTGGAGCCCTGGAGCTACATGTATATTTATTACAACCAAATAGGAATTGCGTAAACAATCGTGTATTTTACTGAGTAGAACATTAAAACATATGTTACATGATGTGATTGAACCCATTGGTGATAGATGAGAATAACAAATTATACACCGCGGGCACTTACACCTTCCAGCAAAGTGATATGGGTCCATGATCGTGTTTAAATCGTAAATATTAGCCTACCGAAGGGCTCATTTTCTTGCTAGAATAATGTAGTGAAACTAAATGATATAGCTTTTTTTTTTATTGATCTCATCATAAAGGACGTATAAGCTATATTTCGAAATTCCAGCTTTCCAGGAGAAATTTTGAATTATAAAATCAAAGTGTGAAAACACCCCTCTGCATTGTGACAGACTTTGTAACAAATACAGAAATGTAAAGAACTGAATACCGCCTCAATAGCTGATAGAGTTATACAGCCAGTAATTATAAATACCCCCCCCCCCCCCACACACACACACCCTGTCATGGTCGGAATAGAAGAACGACTTTGTGATTTTAATATTTATTCAAAGAATATTTGCAGACGTCATACTTGTTACCATCATACCGTAGTCATCGATCACTTTGTACAACCTGTAAAGTGTTGAATTTTTATCGCTTCGATTCAGCAAGCGCTAGATGGGCCATTAGTTGCATTCTTGAGCGCCCGTTGCCCATTAGCCGTATTATTGATGCATGAAGGTGTAGAAATTGCATCTTTAATTGAATGTGGGTGTTACATCGAGCTAAAGAAAACGACCATGTACAACCCTACCATCGGTAATCAAATCTATTTATATCCATAACCGATGGCCATAGCGTGCATGCGCTGAAAAGGTATGAAAGATACCGACCCCGAATTGAAAACTGGTCGGGAAGCTGGTTGTCTATAACTTTCAGTTACGTCAGCTTGCTAATTATGTAAAAGCACATTTAAGAAGCCCCTATACTTCGCGTACCAGCATGTGAGTTGCTTGTACCAGCATGTGAGTTGCTTGTTAACGACCGGGGTTTATGAATTACGTAATTCATTTTTGTCAAGGTTGATGTTATTGATTCTTTATTGAAACACATTTTTTTTGGTAAAAACACATACAAAAACGCCCCTACACCTCGCGTGCCAGCATGTGAATTGCATGTCTACGACCGGGGTTTACAACAAACACGAAACGTGATTCTTTTTTTCAAGGTTGATGTTATTGATTCTATAAAAATAATTTTTTACTGTAAAAACACAAAAAGAAGCCCCTATACCTCGCGTGCCAGCGTGTTAATTGCATGTTTCCGTTATTATTATTGTTATTATTATTATTTATTCGGTAAAACCAAAGAAAATTAGCGAAAAAATAAACAAACAAGAGTACATTTGGAAAAGATTCACATGGATGCCGGGAAAGGAAGACGACGACGAAGCGTAATTCTTTTTTCTAGGTTGATGTTATTGAATCTCTATTGAAATAATTTTCCATTGTAAATTTTACATCAGAAGCGCAGTTTGATTTATTTTACATTGTCAACAACTTAAATGGTAATCCCTATCGCCCTTCAAAATGCTCAAGGGGTTACAATTTTACAGTACTTGTTTAGGAGTACACTTTTGTGAAGTACCCGTTTAAGGTGTGAATTCGGGAAAAAGAAACAAGCGAAATCCTCATTTAGGGTGTATTTTGGCTTCAGAACACATCCTTGTTTAGGAGGTGTCTGGAAAACTTGTGGTCACGCATGCTCACAGTATTTCTACATGACTAAGACCACAGGGCTTCTTCATTAAGACATAATACATGTACGTTCATTGTTTTTCATGTTTAAAAGAGATTCTTCTCCAGGGCGAAAGTGCCATTCTTCCAAAACACAAAACTGTGATTCGTCACTTTATTTCGGCAAATATTTCAATTATTAGACTACAGAGAATTGTAATAGCGTGATATTTCTTATATTGAATTGTAGAAGAGTAGACAAATGTATGAAAACATAAAACACCTACATTTCTCATTACAAAATATGAAATTTGAATTAATTTGACAAGCAGTATCAAAGAGAGTATGCCTATCTGCCGAATGAATTACTGAGAGAAAGAAATGAAAATTCTATAATTAAGGGTTCAATCGGCCTGTTTTTTTTTAGAACTGTAGAGTGATTGCGTAAATCTGTGTTGGTTGTATCAAATGCGATTCTATCTTCATTTGTGGAATTTCATTTATTTCGTCACTAAACTAGGCTTTTCCACAAAAAAAAAGGGGGGGGGCATTAAGAGTATAGATTATGGTCAGGATATCTATTGGTTTATGCTCTGCATAAAAATCTCATTGGACAAAAGTATGACGTCAATTCTTTTACAAAATCCGACTTCAAGTTAAGTAAACATCGGTTGACTGACTTTTTAGACTGGAAGCTGTGACATAAAAGGTTAATATGTTGATATGAATATTCATGACTGCGAGACGTTTCGAATGGTTTTATCTGCCAACAACTTTGAGTCATAGTATCCCACCCTGTCTTTGATGCGCCGTCACATATTTCTCATTACAAAGACCTGCAATTAAATCATAGCGGTTGCGTGACAAAGTGGACTTGAACATGGAACTAGACAGATCAAGGCCATTCAAAGCACCCAACCACTGTTTTGCCACATGTGTAGATAGATGTACGTTGTCTACTAGAGTAGGACATAGCTCCCTATGTCAGTTAACAGGGAGAACAGTATGAATACTGATGATGCTACCCTGGGTAAACAAGACATATTATTATTATCATTATATCATGTATATATAAAGTATGCACTTTTGTTTAAGGACTCTAACATTTAAAGAAACGCACATTTGTTTTAGTTGTCACAAATTAGCCCCTATCGAATTGTTACTTTGTAAAATGTACACCGAATAGTTACAAATCAACATTGTGTTTGTATGCATTTACCATACATTTAAAGTGAAATTTAGTACATTCATAATAGGACACCATTAATTTAATATTTCAAACTTCGAATTTATATGCATTTGTATTTTTTTTAAATCTTTTGTTTTCTCTTTTAGTCTTCCTTTCTTTGCTTGATTGTTCGAATTTCTGATTTGGTTCGATTGTACCGTTAATAATAACAAGCGTCACTCCAGTTCATAGTTATTTGATTAGTAATTTAGTGGTTGAGGTTTAGTTGATGGGAAGTGTGCACATAAAAACGTCCGTGACATCACACAAAAGACTTCTATCGTGAGAGTGATGACTGGATAAGAACCGACCTTTGTCTCGCAGTAATGGGACATGTACCTGTCAGGCCATGTTATAAGTCAGTGGGTTCAATATGGAATCTCGCAGACATGCGGGAACAGAGAGTATCTCCTCTTCCTTTCTCTCGCTGCCCAACCGGAATCGGGCGTGAAGTCCTCAACTCCAGAAGCGATTGGGGGGGGGGGGGGGGGGGAGTCATGAAGCAATCAAGTTTGGAACGTGCTTTGTCCCTTAAACAGAGGCTTTATTTAGGGCTTGGTACGTATATTGACAAATCTTTCGTTGCCCCTCAACCATCGCATGTATGCATGATTTATCCAAATGTCAACCGGGCTACTATATCCGCCGATTTTTTTTTTTTTTTTTTTTTTTTTTTACGAGCCCCTTACTGAAAACGACCACAGCAGTGTGTGGGCGGAGCGAGCGTCAACTCAAAGAAAATTCACACTGAATCGAACTGTTCGAAAGATCAAGCAAATCAATTACTTCAAGAGCGCTCATTTTTGAATGAAATGGAAGAAATATAAGGTGTGGAGTCAGCTAAGCAGAGCTCACTTCAGTATTTGATCCTTTTCGACTTTGGAACAACTACGGCAGCTAACCATTTTATTTACTCAACGACCCATCTTTTTAGCAGTGAGTTTGTATAATTTGCGGAGGGTTTATTGAATTTATTACTATGCCTACTTCAAATGATTTGACGATAATTCCGGTAAGTTATATCACGTTATTCAACCACATTTCTGACTACCCCTCTCTCTCTCTCTTCCATGTCTCTCTATTTTTTTTCTGTCAAAGTAAATGTATTTCATACTTCTTTCATACTTTTTCAATTACTAGCTGACCCGTTTCAGTGTGCCCATACAATCGTATCTCTAATGATGACATAATGTTAAAAAGGCTTTAAAACTTGAGCGAATTCATTTTTCTGCATGTCTGAAATGTTGTCAGTTTGCGTAATGAGAAATTTCTTTTCAGTTGGTATAAAATGTACCTCTAACATTTTATGAAAAAAAATGATTGACAATGCAAAATGATCACAATATGCGCGTGCCATCATGTGTAATACTTACTGATATAAACAATCCTTTCGGCATGTTGTTCCATCGTCCTTTCGAGTCATCTAGCATGAAACCTTCCGGTCTACTCTTCTCGTCTCCTGAATAAATTGAAATCATTTTATTTTATGTAAAAAGGTAAAGTCCACCCTGATGTTAATTTGGTTTTAATAGAAGCAGAAAATGAGAAGACAGGTAAATGAAAGTTATGTTGTGAGCTCCTCTGCAATTTGTTCTGTGCATAAACATTTCATAAACTTTCATTTCTTCGTTATTGATAACGGAATACATTTTTCCAAATAAGAAACTTATTTGCATTAATCATATTTAGGGTGCATGAATGATTGAGAAGAAAAAATTGAGTGAAACAAAATAAATATATGTTTTATTTTTGTACATAGCAAATGGGAGGGTAGCTCGCAAGATGCGTCACAGATTGCGAATTTGTGTTTGATCGTGTTTGATCGCAATTTAAATTACACATATTACCACATTTTGACAAAATTCTCAAGAAAATTGACAGTTCAGCTGAAAGTAAGTCCCTATATTTTGATGTTTTACAATTGTTTTCGATGTTATTTCGATAGAACATGAAAGTTAGATTTATTCGTTCCAATCATTTATTTATTTCATCAAACTTTTAAGCCTAGATAAAGATAAATCAGCTTGTTAGTCCCCCCCCCCCCCCGCCTCCACTTGTGCGTATATGGCAAGGGTTACGGTCTGTGTTTAGGGAAGGTTGACAAATGCCAGTTTCATTAAAGAATTTCCATGTCAGACGGTTATTTCTGTCTAGCATGTTATTCAAATAATGAAGGGTGTTTGTTTGTGTTCACCTAGTAATATTCATATTTGTTTTGCAATGTACAGTGTATCTTTGTATTTTATCAGTATATACATAATCGTTTTCCCTCTCTTTTTCTATCTGTCCCCTTTCCATCACCCTCTCTCTCTCTCTCCCTCCTGTTTTCCCATCTCTCTGAATTTTTTTCATCTCTCTTTTTTAACTCAAAATTTTAAATTAAAATATTGTATAATATAGTATACATATTCACGCTCTTCATAATTATGTAGATTGAAGTGTGATATCTTAAAATGTATACTTGTCTTTTCTAGAAATTTACTCATGTGCAATTCAGTTACTTGTTACTATGATATCTCTTGAAATGTATAACTGTCTTTAGCATCAATGTTTTATTCATACGCAATTCAGTAACTGCGATATGAAATGAAATGAATCAATAAATACCATTTATTTATCTATTTATCTATCTATCTATCTATAATCTGAGAGTGCATTTTTTTTTAAAGAGGGGGCAATTTGTCTTTAGAGGGGCATTTTCTTTTGCAAGAGGGTCGTTATTTTAATTGCAAGGAGCATATTTTGTGTTTACACAGGAGGGGTACAGTCAAACAAATGTCGACTTTGTCTTGGTTAAACTTCAGGGGAACTTTCGTTAACAAAATGTAGGGATAGAAAAAAGCACGTAAACATACATTTATGTGAAAAGACCTTCAAAAAGAGGATCTATTTAGATAGATGGATACAAACTAAGACTCAGGAGATAAAAAAGAGAAGGGTGCTTGTTTACTTGACATGCCCACTTGTTGCAGGAGGGGCACTTTTCTTGACTGTGTGAACAAAAATGGGGTACCAGGCCCCACCCGCTCCTCCTGTTAAGTCGCCGCTGGTGCAGACAGTTGAAACCATGGCCCATGGCATGATTTTGTTGTAAGAAGTGAAGGGATATGAAGTTGTGTGGCCTGTCACATGTGTTAGCCGAGTGTAAACGATTAAACCTACTATTACTATAGTGTACTACTAAATCTAAATTTGGGGTCTTTTTTCCTACAATAGTAGTACATCTATTTGTAAAAATGTCAGTGTCGGATTCCGAATTCGCTCGCGGGGGAACCGGATGGGGGCCGTGCCGGAGGTCAAAACCAGGGCCCAGGTACTGTACTCTGTAGCTATCGGAAGTCTAAGAAAGTTAGATCAGAAGTGAGGTTAAAGATCGAATGTGAGAACTTTACTTAGTTTAGATCTGTGTTGATGAGGATCTAGATCTAAGTTGATCTACGGTTTAATCTAGAGTGAGAGTCGACCGGATAGATGAAGATAATTCTATAAAAATAAACGACACAGTCGAACTAACGTTAGACGTTAACGTTTAAAGATTTTTTTAGTACTACTACTAGTACTAGATCTAGTAGTACTGTAGTATACTACTTCTACTTCTACTTCTACTTCTAGTAGTACGGTCGTAACTGTAGTAGTCGCCTCACGATATTAATAATTGGCGATATCAGTAACATTGGGCAGGGACTTTTAATTTACCATTTTAGACTCGAGACGAGTTATACTTATACCGAGTCTCACTCTCAGTCTAACATTAAATCTAACTTAACACTCACACTAACAGTAACGACTACGGGTAAATCATCATAGTAAATGTTAATTGAATAGAATAGTTTAAACGTTTAATAGTTTAGACTAGCAGGCCTTCTCGACTAGTTTATTAGAAGTGCCAAAACGAAAAGAATTGGTAGTTGAAGTGCTCAACGGTATGTTTGACTGTGCATGCTGCGAGGGGGCGTAGCGACCGATACGAAAACGGGGTCCAGGGGGCGTAGCCCCTATGAATTTATTGCCCAGATGTGGCATTTTTAACACTTTTCCCCAAAATATATCAATCATAATTTCATATTGATGTGAAAAAAATGCCTCAGATCCTTATTACGGTAGATAACTTCACACAGGCGCGGACCCGCCCACAACCAACCATCGGTATTGAAATTCGTTGGTATGCACTAGACTATTGTGCAGCGGTTTGCCGTGAAACCTGTAAAAAAGTGTATACTAATATCAACGTTTTACCGAAAAATACTCCAAAAATAACAAGAAAATTGACACGAAACAGGTAATAAACAACTACTTTTAACTCATGATCTTTATTTGGACATTTAATGAATATTCAGTGGCGGATCCAGGGGGGGGGGGGCACAGGGAGCATGTGTCCTCCCCCCCCCCCCGGCCCCCAAAACATGTTAAAATCAGCCCCAAATTCACCAAAAATGTACTGGCAAACAGGGACGTGCCCCCCGGCCCCCTCCCCCAAAAAAAAATTAGTGCGCACTCCCCCCCCCCCCCCCCCCCCCCCCCCCCCCCCCCCCGCTTATTCAGCGGCTGGATGAGTCGTTGCGATTTTGGGGGGACCAAAACATTTTTTTGGGACCACAACAAATATATATAGAACTAGTCTATAGGTCTATAGAGTCTATGTCATCCCTGTGCCCCCCCCCCCCCTTGGAAGAAATTCCTGGATCCGCCCTTGAAGTTCATTTTGGGTAGGCCTATGTTTTATTTTTTAGTACAAAGGTATCTCCACGCCGGAGTTACAGGTCAAAATTTGGATAAGTTTCTGAACAAGCGCCGACGGTTGTTCCGCTGAGACTGCGTCTGGCATGTGTAAAGTCCCATGTCGTAGGCATAGGCCTATTGGCTATTGCCATTGGGAAAGTTGACAAATGTCAGTTTTAACTTGTATTAAAGAATTCCCCATAGTCTAGGTCTACTCCATGGACCATAGATCTACTTCCATAGTTTCTATTTTTAGGCTATACCACTACGGGACGATAATTTCTCTCTAGAAAAACTAGACTCTAGAGGTCTAGGTCTAGACTAGGCCTAGACTAGTCTAGATTTTAGAGGTCTAGACCTAGATGTCTAGAGTCTATAGTCTACTCCCTCTAGACCTAGATTCTAGATATATACTGCTAAAGACGACGAGATCTAGATCTAGACTAATATTAGGCCTAGGGACTTTTAAATTTGCACGAAGACAATGTGGATTGCTAGTGCTACGGTCGACGTCCTTTTAATGCACTGCCTTGTTGAATGGACGTCACATGTATCAGTCCACGCAAATATAAATAAAAGTCCCTATTAGATCTATCTAGAATCTAACAGTTAGACCGAATCTCTCCGCTTCGACTCGTTCGAGAGAGAGAGCGTCACTCAAATGTTTTGGGGGCTCTTATTCTTAAACTCCTTCAAAAGGCCGAATTTTTCTGTCTTAATTAATGTTATTGTTAGATCCAGCCTTTGACCAAAAAAAATGCAGTGTCTAATAATAGAGTTAGGCCTAGTTGGATCTAATAAACAAAAAAACTAAGGGACTGACACTATTAACGTCGAATTATGGGTAGATTTTACGTCTACATACCTTCTTTTGATCTCCTACCATCATCAGGAAAGTATTCAAAGTCGATAGGTTCATTGGCCTTGCCCTTAGGCCTGACTATGCCTGAGCCCCATGTGATGTTTAAAGACTGCAAAAGCACAAAGGTTGAAAGTAATGATAACGCCAAGATCACTAACATAAGACAGAAACGCCTTTCAACTCTGCTTCGCCCTGCAGGTTGCTTGAAGTTAAATGGCATTGACATCTTCAGGTTCCCAGTTAAGTTGCATATGAATGATGTTTGTTTGTTTTTTTCTTTCTTTCTTGGCCTTGCTTGCCCTTGCTTGCCCTTGCTTGGCTCGGTTAAGTTTAAACGAAAGACGCGCCCGGCCCAAGCTAGTCAGCTTTTTAACCTAAGCTAGCTATCCTAGCGCTGCATTTGATTGGCTCAATAGGAACCTATACATCCTGCAATGACACACACGCGCACAGAATCTGATCCGATAACTCATCGAAAATGAGATTTCATTCAAAAATTTCAAGTGCAAAGCTATGTTTACTTAAAATAAATGACATTGCGAAAAAATTGGAAGGCTATTACCGTAAACGAATGACTACCCAGGTCGTAACTTGTCCGTTATCATAGATCTCCACCCCCTCCACCACACGTACTGACGCAAATATTCATATATTAATATGCAGCGTTAGGATGGCTAGGTTAGGTTTAAAAGTTTGCCCCAGATTACCCTATTATACTTCGCACTGTTACCTAGAGCTTACTTGCCTATACTGACTAAATACTTATGTTATATGAATCGCGCAATCATCAGATTATTCGCTCTTAATAGTGGGTCATTGATGAGGTGGTTAATAGAATATAGAAGTTATAATAGTCATATTAAAGTTATAATCCAACTTCAAGTAAAGGTTTATGGCTGTGGGTCTATATTGTATGGGTACAGGCGCGCCGGAAGCAATTTGGGATTGGGGGGGGGGGGGGGGGGGGCAAACATCCCAGGGGGCTCACATTCCAGGGGCAGTGACGTAATGAGAAAAAAAAGGTTCGGAAGGGGGGGGGGGCAGAAGACGAAAATCTGCATCACCACCAGTCTTACATGTTACCCCGGCCCCCCCACTCAGTGTTATTTAGGGTACGCATATGCTCGTACCCAATTTTTGAAAGCACCCCCTATCTGAGGACTGCCAACATTTCCGAACCCCCCTTTCGCGGGCTTTTCGCGGGCTTTTCCTGCCTTGGAGACCCCCCTAAATCAGGAAAAATGCTCATTTTACCCCCCTAAATTCGGAATAATTTCTCAGGAGTCCAAAGAGATGAGAGAAAAAAAGAAAAACACCCCTTTTTAAAGAAATCTCTGGGTGAAAAGTCAAATACACCCCTTTTTTTACAATTCTCGGGCCGGACTTTGTCGCACGAAAAGTACCCCTTTACCGGACATTTTGGCAACACGCATGGGGTCATTCCGACCTCTGAGTGGGGGGGCCGGGCATGTTACATCCAGGTCCCGCGGAACGTTTTTCAAAGTGGAGTATTATCGATCAGGTAGAGCGTAAATTGGCGTGGGGTCCAGGGCATGAGCCTCGGCATGGGGTCAAGGGGCTGAGCCCCCGGAAGATCAGGGGTTTTAGGTATTTAATTACGGTTAGATGAGCATCCAGGGGCCCTCTGTAAGGCAATTGACGTGGGGGGGGGGGGTAGGAAGAGCCCCCAGAAGCTCAGAGGTTTTAATATTTAACTACGGTCAGAGAAGCATTAAGGGGCCGTCTTAGGGCCGTTAGTGTGGTCCAGGGGGCAGAGCACCCGGAAGCTCAGGGGTTTTAGGTATTAAATTACGGTCAGATGAGCATCAAGGGGCCCGCCTTAGGGTCCTTGTTGGGGTCCAGGGGCAGAGCCCCCGGAAGATGAGGGGTTTTAAGCATTTAATTACGGTAAGATGAGCATTTTTTATACCTTATTTGTAACATTGGCAGGTCACTTATTTTTTTCTTCGTCTTTCTTTCTTTTTCTCTTTAACATACTTTTTCAAAAAGGAGGGGGGGGGGCGTGAGCCCAGCCACTTAGCAGACCATGACATAAAGGCTTCTAAATAAGCGTATTTCGTCTGACTGTAATTTGGGAATTTCTTATTTTCCAACAAACGCATAAAAAGGTATGACTTACAAAAAAAAATGGAGGAAAAATGCCGGAAAATCATGTCACAACATCAACATTTGTAAATCACTTGTTTCGAATAAGAAATACATCACCCCCCCCCCGCCAGGGGCGTACACAGGATCTTTTCAAGGGGGGGGGGGTTAAAATCGGGCCCAAAATTTCGCAACGACTCAGCTTTATTATTTTGCTCCCGAAAATTTGAAAATCGCGCCGGCCGAAAAGTCGCTCAGTGGGGGGGGGGAACACTTTTAGGGGGTTTTAGGGGGTTTACATACATAAAAATACCATAAAAACACCCCTGTGTACGCGCCTGCCCCCCGCCCCTATATCAGTACGCCAGCGTTCAGGGGCTCATGTCTTCTCACCCCTATAACAACAAAACGTACACGCTTTCCCATTCTCGCACAATATGTCCACGATATGCGCGAATCGCTATTATATAGACCTCCATTGATAAATACCGTATAGGTGGCATGCGCAATGTATACGATTTTTTATTTCCTGTGAACTTTCCTTTTTCTTTGAATGGAATTGTATATGTGATTTAATTCAGGCTTTTATTATTGTTACGTTCTTTTGGATTAAAAATACAAACCATGTTTACTCCTTTACAGTTTTGTTTTGTTTTTTTTTACCTGGGGGGGGGGGGGCAACTGCCTCCCCTGCCCCCCCCCCCCACTTCCGGCGCCTATGTATGGGTAAATTGTTTGCCCGTGGTCTTCTTTCATGCATATGGATTATTAATTAGGCCGACATCTGTGTCGAAGAAGACAGCAATACTATCAATATTATCAATACAGGCAGTGCTAATTGGTAATGAGCCAATTTATCTGCTTCACCACCCGACTCTTCAGCCTAGGCCCCGCTGAACGTTTGATTGAAGGATTTTAATTTGATTGATTGAAGGATTTTATTGATAATTATCCATTCTCGCAGTCCAAAGACTGAATTGCAATGGTTACAAAAGTTTACAATGTATATACATGATAAAAGCAATTAAACAATAGTATATTAAAACGGTCTAGGCAATCAACATTTAAATTCAAATAAAAGTGATCAAATGACAATTATAATGGCAACTTTTATTAATTTCAATTAATAAGCATGAAATTCGTAACTGAAACATTTAAAAAATATACTATTGAAATTAATCATTAAAACCATTACTATTACGAATATGACATGCCGAAGGGTTGATTATTGTCATTGGTAAAACATATTGGAAATATTGGAATTGGATTTCATAATGGGAAATCCAGTAAGTAAGTTGGGTGATGCTAAAGTATTTACGATCATGTAGAGGAATTAGGTCTGGGGTTATGGGCATCTAATTGAGATCAGATGAGCATATTTTGAACCCTTATTCATGATACTGGCAGGTCACTAATTGGCGTGCTTCTTGATGGTGTCACGTGACACTGTCATGTGACTGTGTAAATGTGGTCGCCCCCTTGATAGCAGACGACATTGCAAATGTTTATTTACAGACTCTTTGCAGGTTCTTTGATGGCTACATTTCAATTTAGATTTTCATCGGTAATGAAACCCAAATCTAAAATAAATGCATTAAAAAGCGCTGGTTAGTATACAAGTGGATGTACAACAAATCAAAAAATAGCTTCAGACAAAGAAACACTCACCGATGAGTGCAAGTCGTAAAGCTATGTTTTGTTTAAAGATAAATAAGTAAACAAATGATTTTTGAAATAAAAGTTCACAAATTCTGCATAACTTTAATCTGTCTAATCTTCAAAAGAGATAGAACACACCAATAATAAAATAAACAACAAATTTGTATAACAAATTCCTGTCTTAAAGATACTATGTCCCTTTTTTCAGCCAAATTCAAATTCTGTAGAACTTTGCAAGAATTATGAGTGTGTCGTATGTCCTATCTGTGAAATTTAAACGTTGCAGTGTCCTAATATTGAAATTATGCAAGGAAACCCATTTATTTGCTAGACTTCACTGTCAGACACTATTGAGTGACTGACTGGCTTTTTTTCTTCTTTGGTATAATAACGTACAGAACATGAGCTGTTAAGGGTGCATGAGCATTTGTCTACATCAATAACCCACTTCTTGTAATGGCCAAAATTAAACTGATTGAATCTTTGCGCAGCCATTCGGGTCTGAAATATTACTTACTGGCTCGATAGCTCTTAAGTCGATTCGACAACTAATAGTCGTTGCTGTCCCACTTAAAGACATTTTCAAGCCCCCCTTTTTGTTTAGGGAAGTTCTTATTTAGTATTTACTTTCAAATGCCGTTGGTATTTAAACTTTTCGTTGTTTGGCCTGCAAATGGGACATAGAACCTTATTATCTAATTGCAGTTGAATTTACATTGAATAACACATTTCCAAATTGAAACTAGAATTAGTTTCACTTTATATTTTGTTGAGTACGTATATCAAAAATAAAGAAAACAAAACTGGATACAGACATAATATAGTGTCCCAATAAAAAGTTCCCGTTTTTAAAAAAGGTCTTGTCAAATAAATATCTCAAATTTCTCTGCCAATGCCTATACCTTTTAACTTTGACTAGAACTATTACTATTATTATCAAGTTATTCGGTAAAACAAAGTGCATACAAAAAAATTACATAGAAAATCAAATCATACAAAACAAAGTGAAGGATGAAATATCATTTTAAAAACATTATCGTGATTCCCATGAGCATTTACAAGTTGCCGGAAATGATTATGAGAACTGATCCCCATATGAAATAATAATATATCATTAACATAATTCACCCTCATGTTTGTTGAAACATAGGCATATACTCTTGATGATGTGTTGAAAGCTCATTTTTTTATCAAAGTCCCGTTTTAACGGGATGAAATTAGTGCTTTCGTTTTAATTTTTCAAATTACAGCTAGATCTATATAGTAGAGACGAACCTTGTCAAGTAGACCAAATAGACCTAAAGTAAAGGAAACCAAAGCTATAGGTTTTCACCTGCAATATTGTACTATAGATCGCTACAATCGGACCTCTGAGTAGTCCACAACAAAGTGAACAAACCTGTAAAGAGTCTGCTGGGGGGGGGGGGGTTAAGGGGGTTCTTGATGTTGTCAGTGATTTTT